CCTGTAAAATATTCATTCATTTACTGGGTTTGGAACTTCCGAAAAATAACATTTTATTTGTAAAAAATATTCTTTTTGATCCAACATTGACATTGCTGACATCCAGAGAACTTCTTTTGCATATCATGGAATGCTGACTGAAAAAATAATCTGTCACAAACACTAAGTCCCAGGACCTCTTCCCTCTCAGAATATTTAAATGGTTGGTCCCCAACACAAGTAACCATGGTAAGAAATGAGTGTTTAAGATTGTTTGGTTTTGTGCCACAACATATCATGGCTATCATAGAGGGGAAAACACAAAGATTGGGCTTTATCCACTGAACCCATTTGAGGAATCAAACCCTTGTATTTGGTGTGACAAGCACCTTTACCATTGGGTTACCCCAAGCAAGAGTACCTGAGCATACATTAATTAGATACTTGCTGCATCATACTAAGGACAATAAAAGATGGTACTTGTTGTTACCCTGTCTGTGCTCAGCATTAAGGGGCTAAAACAAAGACTGGTCGGCTCAGAGTCAGTATACTGTGTCTGAGTGGGGTATTCATGTTAAACTGCGCCATGGTATCTCAGTGGGCTGGCACAATCAAATCATCATTAGTCCGGACTAGTACAAGCAGCCACACACACATAAGCATGCACGCCGCTATGAAAGTGCAATAATCTTGGACGTGACGTTAAACCCCTTTCACCTCACCTCAAAACAATATTTGCAATCACTCTTCCAATTTATTTTTCCAGTTTTCAGCGAAATACAAGCCACACCTACAAAGTCATCAAATAAGTTACTATTAGGTTTACATATTAACATGAATATGAAATATGAAAATTCTCATTCTGATTTGTGAATATTTAATGACATTTGCTGCAGACCAGGGTCTCTGACAGGTTTAGATAAACCCAAAGGCTGATAATCCTCACTCTGTCATGCAACATATTGAAATCCATATTCATAATAGGCTTAGGGATCCTGAGCAAGCGCAATGAGATGACATCTGCAAAATTCTTGGAAATGACGTAAACCTATTCCACGGGACCCCCAATAATTAATTTCTAGAGTCCTTACTGGAACATGAGGATCCTGTAAAGTAATGGAATGGTATAGTGTACTGTACTGAAAAAAATCATAATTAATTTAAATAAAGGACCCTTATATTTCTTGTCAACAATTGGGTACAATGAATATTATTGTGCATCTCTCAGAATACAATTTATTTCTTTTCTGCATCCATTTTATACATCTGTGTAATGGATTCACATTTCTGCGTCATGTAAACCCCGTGGTTCTACAGGCACTTTTTATACTGCTAATGCTGAAACATTTGTGGGATTTACAGGAGTCAGGAAAACTTCAATATCAACAAATCATGAAGTTAAATATAAATCTACAAAAACCACAAGGGACTTCCTTAGAGGAACTGTCAACCATGAACAGGAAGTATAAAACTAGTGCCAAGGCAATGTTGATAACTAATACATCCTTAGCAAGCTGTGAGTAAACATGGGGGAATCTGAGCCAAATAAACCAGTGATTAATTTAATAAGCAACGTCCTTTCATTGGGTATGACAACAGGCAATCAACAGAGCCCCCAAGTCTGCTCTGACAACAAGCAATAGGACTTGGTGGGGGGGGTATTACAAATATATTCCAACAGGACTCAGCTGATAACAGTACAGAATCACAGCCTGCAACTCTCTCCCAATAATTGCTTTTTTTCATTGTTCTTTAAGGCTGCACTCCGCAATATTCCAGCTAATAATCGAGTATGGATAAGAAAATCCAGTGATTGACATCATGAGTATTGATCCACGCAATTGGGATACGATGACATGCATCAACCAAGTCAGCAAGCTTGACCCCCTGATCCCATTAGTCGCTCTTACAACAAGCATGGGTTGCTAAAGACCAATTCTAACCCAGATCTTCACAGGTCCCAATACGATATGTGTCACAATACTTCATTCAGGGCAATTTTGCATGAATTTTTTCATAGGGCATAAACACTTTATCTTAAAAAGGCTTGAAATTACCTGGTCTCATACTTAAAAATAATCAATACTTTGATTTCCAGATGAACTGAAGTGTCAACACCAGTTAGCATGGCAAGACTAGACCAGAATTTAAGTCTTAAAACTTGTACATTGAACAATGTACATACAACATAAATTAATAATCACTGGTAATTATAAAATTGTTTATTAAAATGTGGGTAGGAGCCATTTTGCCAACAAAGTCATCCCAGTGCTTCCATGTGTGAAACAATATGGGATCAAAACATGAATTGAGCGTGTGAGTTGGGTTTAACGCCGCTTTTAACAGTATTCCAGTTATATCACGGCGTGTCATCTTAATGTGGGAGGAAAGCCCGAAGTGATGCAGGTCTCAGACGTTTACCACTTCGATGAAACCTACGAGCACGGATATGGTGCTGACAACCCTAGAAACATATTGGGGGTGAACCAGGATTCGAACCGACAATCATAGGTTTCTGGCATGCCCAAGGGACGCAACTCTGCACAGCGAATCGTGAAACATGAATTGATATGGGATTAAAATATGAATCGATACATGTAAGTGTGCATTGTATCATCTGAGAATGTTATCAACGCACCACTGTATTGGTGAAATTTCACACACCTATTGCACGGTATAATTTTTAGTGTTTTAATTCACTCATATATACTGTCAAACAGTTGATGCAGAATGTTTGGTTCACGACAGCATTCAGCTACAATCTCTGAGTCAGAGAAAAGGGGCGAAAGTTTATTAAATCCACATGACAATATCGGTGATCTGTTGTCGGAAACAGCTGGTGGTGGTTTGAGGCAAAGTATCATCATACCTCAGGGTTAGGAAGTTTCACTTGCTTGCTTTCAATTGTCAGTTCATCAATGTTAGAGGTATCCTGAGGGCTATTAGACTTTCAGGATTCCTAGGGTGTATCCTTCCATGCTATCACTTTTCAGGCTAGGAAACGTTTCAGGTACATTTCTGCCACTGTACATCCTTGGTCTCCGGTACTGAACAAGGTAGTATCATTCCACAGTGAACACAATCTCATTAAAATCAGATATTAGTAATCACTACCGCAAAACAATGATCTGAGGACATCCCAATACAGGTTCACTTTAGAGTGACCTTTCATGAACTTTGACCATGTTGACCGACCAATGAAATGACTAAAAAGAAGTCGACATTAGCCAATCAGGAAGCAGCTTTCACAACCTTTATGACACCAGTTTCAAACTGGTGACTTCCATTTCAGACTATACTTTGAAAAATATTGAATCAAAATTAGAAAACGGAACCAAAGAAAATTCTGGAATTCTAGAATGTGGAGATTGTATGGCAGTACTTCCTAGGGCTATGGAAAGTCTCTTCCATTTGAAATGTTTATCCAACTGAAGCCAGATATAGATCCACTGAAGCCAGATATAGATGAAGATTTTGACGGAATCAGTTCTACAGCCCGTAACTGTCATTCAGAATACACTGTGTTAACCATAATAAGATCACATGATTAGAAAACACATTCTCACTATCACTTCCATGATCTGGTAAATGATGCTCTCATTGGTCAGATGAAACATTGTTCTGACGTGACCCTTAATGGGATGTCCTCAGATATTTGTTTAGCAAGAACTTAGATCTGATTTCAATGACACTGCAGTGAACCCCATGTATTCCCAACCACCATGGCAATCTAACTTAGCCCTTTGTAGGGAGTTTGCTGGATACAAATGTCATTAGGATATCTTCATGATTTTATTAACTTCAGACAGGACATTTCCTCTATATCTCTTGCAAATCTGACAAAATATTGACAGGACATTTTCGATCACAATCAGTCAATGCCCTAGAAAATGAACCGATCTGAAACCCTAGTTGCCTTTGAGTGAGAAGTGTTTACATAAAACAGCAAGACACCAGAAATGGGCTTCACATATCGTATACATGGGCATATGGAACCCAGATCTTAGGCATGTCCCTTTAACAAGTTAACAACCACCAGGCTACCCAACTGCCCCAAGAAGAACTTGGCATGATGATTAAACAGTTCCACTGAAAAATATGCCATCCATGACATAAACAAATTTAACAACTGCTGGTTACTTCCACAAGGATAAAAACCTTGCTTAGTCATATAGTTTCATCATCAGAAACATTTACATTGTACCATGTTTACTATCCCTGATCAACAGCAATCACCCTAGTCTTGAATTTCCTGTTTAGTGGCAAGTTTGTATTCTTGTTTTCATGGTTTGTGGCAAGTAATTGCAAAACAACTTGTGGTGTCAAATACAAATATATTTCAATTTTATAGTCAGTAATAGTAACAGATATTCAGCCCTGAAAATATAGTCAATCTGGAGGTATAATAGAGATTTCTGTAAATTAGCTATCAGAATGTTCAGATTAAAACACCTATAGCCTACACATGAGCATTGTGTTTTTGGAAGTATGAATATGTTAGTATGTTTACAATAGCATAAATTATTAAATGCGGGGGGGAAAATGGTATAAAGCTTTTTATAAAACTAAAACCTTTTGTCATTGTTTTCAATTTGACATTTCACAAGTCTGTTTTGAACTGAAAAATGTGTTGTTTTGACGCTGTATGCTCCACGGAATGGTAACAAGCTGCTAACCCTTAATATGAATGTGAAATTAGAATTAGATTGAACATGTTGAAAGCAGTCACCATACTGTAGATTATACAAAACAAAAAATATAACATTTGTATTTAGGCCAATAATTCTTTTCTTGAGATAAACCATGTAGGCAGGCCTGTGATGATTAGGAGATTTCAGGTGTTAAGAATTTCTTCAATAAGTACTTTTTGTTGGAATCTAGGTTGTAAGTTTCACCTGACGCCTCGCTGACACGACTAGGCCTTCTGTTAATATTCTTAAAATGCTGTAAACTAACCACATAATCAATACATTCAAAGTGAAAAACTTCCTAATAATTCTGATGTGAAACTGAGTACTTACACAAAATACCAAGAAGCACTGTCCACACTAGAAATCTACTGCCCGACATGATGACTCCGCCTCATTCAGGTTGTCGACAATGTGATCCTGTAGATGTTTTAGTTATCATACCGTAGATAGATAAAGCTGTCATGTGTTGGAGCCGTGCTCATCGCTCGCTAGCCAGTCATGTGCAAAAAGTCACATGATTTGTATATTTTGATGTCTACAGGTGGCGCTGTTCGTTAACAAAGGGCGGATAACTCTTAATGAACTAAAATGTCTGCTCTACTGAGGTAACGTGCTTCATATTTTGATTAAATGTTGTTATGTTAGTGTTAGTTTTGAAAGCAATAAGTAACATCTAAACACTTATAGCCAGAAAATAAGGGTACAATGTTGAAAGTGGTATTTGCAGTAATAAGCTGGTAATAGTGGTAACACTATAAGCAGGTGTCAGAACAAAGCTGTTAAAATTATCTCGGACACACACATCGGATCATGCCATGCACATGGAAGTCTGAATGAAATTAGATGGATAATTAAATATTTGATTGAATTATTTATTTATTTATTTTGTTGTTGTTTAACGCCACACACATCAATATTCAAGATATTTGGTGGTGGCCTGTAAATAATCAAGTCTTGGCCAGACAAACCAGTGATTGATGGTATGAGCTATGATCCTTATCTTATGGGAACTATCAGTCATTGTTTTCATGGGGCAGAGCTACAGATAAGCTGCGTATTTGCGTAAAATACTCCCCAAAAATATTCAAAACCCAATTACTTTCAATTATCTTGCGTACAAAAACATGTGCATTAAAGGAAAAACTCAACTGCATAAAAACAGCATGTGTAAATACCCAATGAAGCTTTTTCAGCATGCGTACAACAGAGCTAAATTCCGAAACACAATTATGAGCTAATTTACTTTCTGAGTCAAACCAAGACAAACCAAGAAACATAATCGGGGCGAACCAGGATTCAAACCCACAATCATAGGTTTCTGGCGTGTCAGTGTTCAGAAATGTGTATAGTTACTGCCGCAAAATTTATTTACGCTCTCCATACAGGCGAAGCCCAGCCTCTTGTCACGCTCAGTTGAGTTAGCGAGCAAATTGACTCACTGCAGCTGGTGAGCCTTAATGTTTGACAGCTGGGAAGAAGCCAGAGATTAGTGGCCTTAGTGGCCTTTTAATTTGAACCCTTCATATGTCATCAGTCTTGGATCCCCAAACATTATTACCGAGAGTCCCCTGGACACAAAAATAAATAAACCGAGGTACACCCCAATCTAATTAAAATCACATCTTAGTTCTTGCTATCGCTAAACAAAGATCTGAGGACATTCCGTTACGGGTCATGTCAGAATGACCTTTCTACCGACCAATCAAAGCGTTGCTCATCAGATCATGAAAGTGACAGTCGGAAAGTCTTTTCTAATCATGTAACCTCAGAAACGTTAGCACGGGTTATTCCGAACGACAGTTACGGCCCGTATGACTGATTCCGTCAAAATTATCGTCTATCTCTCACTTTTGTGGGATAAACATTTGAACGTAGGCATTGCACAGTTCGTGGGAAGCACTGCCATACAATAGCAACCATATATTAGACATTCCGGAATGTTCGTTTGTTCAGTTTTCAAAAGTTTAATCGAGAGCTGTGTCAACATATTGTTCAAGCATATTCTGAAATGGAAGTCGCCAGGTTGAAACGAGTGCCGTAAAGCTCGAGAAAGCTTCTTTCTGATTGGCTAATGTCGACTTCTTGTGTGTCGTTTCAGTGGTCGGTCAAAGTTCGCGAAAGGTTCTGACGTGACCCGTAATGGGATGTCCTCAGATCTTTGTTTAGCGGCAGTGAGAACTAAGATCTGATTTTAATGAGATTGAGGTACACCCCTGTTATTATCATGTTTGTAAGTAATTAAATGGCCATGAGTGAGAGTATGGTTTTACGCTGCTTTTAGCAATATTCCAGCAATATCACGCCGGAGGACACCAGAAATGTGCTTCACACATTGTACCCATGCGGGAAATCACACCCGGGCCTTCGGCATGACGAGCGAACACTTTATCCACGAGGCTACCTCACTGTCCCCATATGGTCATGATGGAAAAGATGAAGGTCTGTAGATAGTACCTTTGATGATTATTTTTCATATATTTTATAGGTCATCAAGAGATGTATTATGCAAGACCTGCAAGCAGTTGATTGTACTTGCAAGTCGACCTAATTCTAACAAGGCAGCCATATGCCGGATAAACAGGTTTAACTACGCCAGGACCTACCCGACAATGGTTGTGCAACCTGACGGATCAACACTAACTATAAGATACACTGAACCAAGGAGAATCATAAAGGTATCAGAACATTGTCAGGCTGTTACGATTTTGATTTCACAGCTCTGATATAATATACTACTCAAAACAAGTTAAGGAATGCCTGATTCTTTCATATTACTATAGTTGGTCTGCCATGCCTTGACGGATTACCTATAGTAATATGAATGAAACAGCCGGTCCTTAACTTTTTTAAGTAGTACATGTATACATCACCTCCCATTATTTTGCGCACAACGCAGATGTGAAATGACAATATGATTAGTATCAAGATGTGATGCCATGTGATTCAATACATTTCCTCAGATCATTATCTTGATAATTATAAAAAGTATCATGATGAAAGAAATTATCACCACTGACATGATTATTGACAGGCTTTCTTGACAGTCAATATCTCTACGCTGACATGATTATTGACAAGCTATCTTGACAGTCAGTCTCTCACCGCTGACATGATTATGATAGGCTATCTTGACAGTCAATCTCTCTATGCTGACATGATTATGACAGGCTATCTTGATAGTCAATCTCTCACCGCTGACATGATTGTTGACCGGCTATCTTGACAGTCAATATCTCTACGCTGACATGATTATTGACAGGCTATCTTGACAGTCAATCTCTCACCACTGACATGATTGTTGACAGGCTATCTTGACAGTCAATATCTCTACGCTGCCATGGTTATTGACAGGCTTTCTTGACAGTCAATATCTCTACACTGACATGATTATTGACAGGCTATCTTGACAGTCAGTCTCTCAGCGCTGACCTGATTATTGACAGACTATCTTGACAGTCAATATCTCTACGCTGACATGATTATTGACAGGCTATCTTGACAGTCAGTCTCTCACCGCTGACATGATTATGATAGGCTATCTTGACAGTCAATCTCTCACTGCTGACATGATTATTGACAGGCTATCTTGACAGTTAATATCTCTACGCTGACATGATTATTGACAGGCTATCTTGACAGTCAATCTCTCACCACTGACATGATTATTGACAGGTTATCTTGACAGTTAATCTCTCTACGCTGACATGATTATTGACAGGCTATCTTGACAGTCAATATCTCTACGCTGACATAATTATGACAGGCTATTTTGACAGTCAGCCTCTCTACGCTGACATGATTATGACAGGCTATCTTGACAGTCAGTCTCTCTATGCTGATATGATTATGATAGGCTATCTTGACCGTCAGTCTCTCTTTGCTGACATGATTATGACAGGCTATCTTGACAGTCAATATCTCACTGCTGACATGATTATTGACAGGCTATCTTGACAGTCAATATCTCACTGCTGACATGATTATTGACAGGCTATCTTGACAGTCAGTCCCTCACCGCTGACATGATCTTTGTTTTCAGCTTCCTTTGGACCTGGAAACTTTGTCTGAAGCTGATCGACGGAAGCGATTGCAAAGAATGAAGCCAAAGAAGAAGATTGTGATAGAAGATGAGATAGAGGACGATTTTGATGCTGATAGATACAGCCACTTGTGGAAGAAGAAGTAACAGATGTCTTCCATGTATTGTCAGTGTGTGTGTGTGTGTGTGTGTGTGTGGCTGTATAAGGCTGAAGAAAACAAGTGGGACAACAGTGGAGATCTGTACAAGTGACCATGCAGACGAACATGTGTACTTTAGAAATAGTGTATTGTGTATACTTCATGAAGTGACAGTCTGTAAAAAAAATTAAAAAATTCTAACATTTTGACTTTTTATTTCACTTCTGTATTTTAGTTCTATGTAACTAAGAAAGAATCAGCGAAACAGTTGGATCATCATGACCATCTTCCTCACACACCCAGTGTATTAGATCTCAATTATATTACTGTATTATAAATACACTCATACATTCATTTTGGAAGTGATGTCTCCAGGGCCCACTTGCACAAAGCAATCTGAGCGCTAAGATGATCGTAACTCCCATGCTTTAACATAGGCTTACAATAGACGTAGTGCTAAGATCGCTTTGTGCAAGTGGGCCCTAATCTCTAATCACTAACTTAGCAGAGTTTGGCTTAGTTTGCATTCAATATCACAACCTCAGCCCTCGTTATTTAATTGAGTCTGAAGACTTATTATAAATGAACTTTCAGCTGGAAGAATGTTTTCTTCAGTACTAAGTCCTTTGCTACAAGACATTCCTGTTGTATTTGTGAGGCATGCAAACGTTGAGTACTGGTTATATCTCCACTAGTTTCATGAAAGAGTATTTTAATTTGATTTATCATTATGTTATTCAAACAAGACTTGAAGCAAAGATGTGGTGGCAAATGGGTCCAGGGTATGTCATCATAGAATGGAAATGTGACACTGGATGAATGAGGCTGTGTAATGTGTCTGAGGATGAAACAATGCAAGGATGCTATTCAATGTTATACTCAACATGATATTAGATATTGCACTTCATCTGTATCACAAATTGGTTATATTTGCATTATATTACTTAATTGAGTTTCATTATCATTCAAAGATTTCACAATTGTACCCGAAATGGTGCATCATGACATGTATCATAATCTTCATTCATAAGATTCATATAGTATGGTGACACAGTGTACTGTTTCAACTCTAGGCAAGATATGACTCTGAATTACGGTATTCACCCTTATAAGCAATTTGAACACGTGAAAATTGACAAAGGAGACACTTATTGAAACCATATAATTTAATTGAGTGGTAGTGAACAAATTTAGTTTAAACATCGCTGAAACTAACATATATTTTTTTATAATTGTTACTAGGCAACTATATGCCTTGTCTATGCTGCTATGTCTTAAACAAAATCTGAAATATCCACACAAAAATATTTACCGTCATGTAAAGTTTTGGTCTTAGTAAATTGCACTTTTAAAGATTAACAAACGGTGGATATAGAAACTGGTCAATATCACTTATTAGATTGGACATTTAATATGGCAAATATGGTACATGGGTAGTCCCAAGTACTCTATGGTTGTTACAAGAGCAGACTTACATATGGACCGAGTGTGACCTGCCACTGAGTATACTTCATCATGATGGAATCGGTCACTGCACACAGCTTGTCCTAAACTCCCAATACATGCAATACTTTATTCCAACTTCAACTGTGAAATACCAAGATGTTTCTGTTAGAATATGTTAAGGATAACGCACAAGTAATTGGACATTCGTTACAAATAATTTACAAGGCAGCAAAGTTGCAAAGTTATATGTGTCTGACCGCAGTAACAAAATATGTTACTGTGTAATCATAGTAATCAGATTTAAAATACAGCCTCAAAGTTAAAATATATCATTAAATAAATGAAAACAAATACAACACAAATATGCTACATGGAAATTTCGTGCAGTACATTAAAAAAACATGAGAATCTTTAATTTTGTTTTTCAGTATCCATGCTGCAATTGAACTGATCCGAATAATTTTAAGGCACTTGCATTTTGTGCAATTTGATCATTGTAGCCTCTACATTTGTAATGCACATGCTTAGAATAAATGCATGAACTTAAAATTTGTATTGCATTAAGTAGGTCAGAAAAGTGTCAATTCATTACAGATAATCTACAATTGAACAATATAGTGACATCGTGGCTGTTGTTTAGGCCACACATTTTTTATTTTTCATTTCACGGGCTTGCCGCCCCTACTGTAAAGCAGACAGAAAAGAAATATATTGTACATAATTATTATTGTTATGTCTCCCGCTAATAATATGGACCCTCAATAAAAAATGTTGTATATAAATTCCTTGTCTACATCACTATTAGCATGATCAGTGATTCAAGAAGCCAGCTGCAGTTTTAACTTCAAGGCAGAATTATTTTCATGTAAATAAATAAATAAATAAATAAATAAATAAATAAATAAATAAATAAATAAATAAATAAATAAATAAATAAATAAATAAATAAATAAATAAATAAATAAATAAATAAATAAATAAATAAATAAATAAATAAATAAATAAATCTTGTGTGGAAAAGCTGGAATAAATCTGTGAAACATAAAATGTAAAACATGTGACATAAGACTAATATATAAGACATATATTATATAGGATAATTTGAAAATTTGGACCAAAAACATTTGTGCCTTAAAATTCTTTTGACTGTTCTGCCTGTTGAAAGGAGACAAGTCTTTGGGCTATCAGCATTCACAGTTATTAAAGAAGTTGTTATCCATAAATTGTGCTACTTTATCATCTGTAAACTTCGAAGTAATACCTGTTGATCCACAGTAAGTTTGATTTAAGTCAATCAAAACCAACTTTATTTAATTTCTAACTCAAATTTTATGATTTATATCAATCAAGCAGTGAATAATTAACTCTTATTGGAACGTTGCTGAGTGTGACGATAAACAAAAAACAACAATAAATAAACAAAACAAAGAATGTCAAGTCTTTGAAAGGCTTTTAGAAGTGATACACTTAAGGAAGAGTATATACTTACTCCTCAGGTGAATGTTGTTTGTTTGTTGTTTAACGCAGCACTCAGTAACATTAGTTTGTTGCCTTTTACAACAAACATGGGTTGCTGAAGAACTATTCTACCCCGGATCATGTAAGAACAAGAAGACAAATAAGATAACAAACGAAGGAAACTTACCAAGGGAAGTCAACAGATAATGGGCGCTGAGAGGTGATAATGGAAGTCAACACTTTACAGTAATTAGCGCTGATTAACTTAGTTAGGGACAACTGGAGTGAGTTGGGTTTAACGCCACTTTTAACAGTATTCCAGTTATATTGCAGCGTAGTTAGGGACAACTGGAAGCCAGGACTAAATTATCACTGATTGGTGATTGGCAATGGACAAAGGGCAAACGGGAGGCCGGGGTAATTGATAGGTAAAAGAATGGAAATAGCAATGGGCAAATGGAGGGAGTGAGTATGGATTTACGCCGCTTTTAGCAATATTCCAGCAATATCACGGCGGGGGACACCAGAAATGGGCTTCACACATTGTACCCATGTCGGGAATCGAACCCGGGTCTTTGGCGTGACGAGCGAACGCTTTAACCACTAGGCTACCTGACCGCCCCTGGCAAATGGAAGCCAGTTAGATAATTAACAACACAGACTTGTATAAGGTTCATGTTAGTACCAACAAACATCAAAGCAAAACAAAGCAAAGAATGTCTTGCACAAGATCCCATATACAAAATCTAGACTTTGGTAATGGTTATCAGACCACATCTGTTATCTACATTGGAACTTCACTCACACAGATAAATATGTAATTTATTAAGAATAGACAATCTGCACTGTCCATTTGTGTTAGTGGTATTTGAATTACCTAAGATACGATACTGATAAATGTCTCCGGGAATAGAGAATAGACAATCTGCACTGTCCATTTGTGTTAGTGGTATTTGAATTACCTAAGATACGATACTGATAAATGTCTCCGGGAAACAATATCTATGGAAGCGAACGTAAAATATTAAGCATTCCTCACTACTCGCATCTTTCCGTAACCTACAAGAAGGTTTGGAAATAGAGTAACTTCCCTTTGAAACATGGCCGCGCCCATTCGCAATGTGGATCTTGGTTTTGTCGCAGATGATTTTGATCCACGGCTTTTGACAAGTCGTTTCTTTCCAAGTAAAGTAGGTGGTAAACCTGCGTGGCTGTCGCTGTCTGACCTACCGCCAGTGTTGTCCTGCCCGACATGCGGCGCACCATGTGTGTTTTTGCTACAGGTTTATTCACCACGTGAAGAACAAACTAACACGTTTCACAGAACAATATTCATTTTTATATGCAGAAGTCCAAGCTGCTGTGCAGAGAACCATAATGGTAGTTTTATTGTATTGCGGTCCCAGCTTGCTAAGGAAAATGACTTCTTCAGCCCGAGACCCCCAGACGAAGACCACCCAGATGTAGAGCCTGAGGGGTCGGGGAATGAAGGCGTGGCACTGTGTGTCGTGTGTGGGTCAGCTGCACCCAAGAGATGTGGGAAATGTCATAAGGTGTCCTACTGCAGCAAGCACCATCAAGCTCTTCACTGGAAAGCCACTCATAAGAAAAAATGTTGCAAGGAAGAAGATGATGAAGGTAACATTTACTCGTTGGTTTTATGTTTAACGCCAGACTCAGCAATATTCCAGCTATATATGACCGCTGTCTGTAAATAATCGAGTCTGGACCAGACAATCCAGTGATTGACATCATGAGCATCGATCCACGCAATTGGGATCGATGACATGTATCAACAAAGTCAGTGAGCCTGACCACTCGATCCCGTTAGTCGTCTCTTACGACAAGCATAGTCGCCCTATAGACATGCAGGTGATATTATAATGGGTTACCTAAAACGGCACCAGTTGGTGAAAACGGAACCGTGCCCAAGAACGGCATCTTATTTCTTTTTTAATAAATGAAATTAGACTCACAGGTTCACCATTCAAATGCAAACACTGATTGGTCATTGAAATGTGGAATGTTAATCACCTTAAAACATGTTCACATTATAAATTAGCCTCTACTCCAATTTACTTGCCGACACTGATTGGGAGGAGCAACTAAACGTATTGTGAAAACATGATATCCTTTATCATGTGTTTATAATTGAATCAATGTCAAAATGAAACTATATTTAAGATGCATGACAGGGTGTTGTCAGATCACAATTTTTCACGTCTTGTCATTGTGTTGTATGCTAGAAGAGAGTCTGGCAGTGTGATGTGACAACACAATGAGAGAATTGCTAAAATGATTTTTGTAGTGCTGTGACAATGACATATATGGTGACACTGACTAAAGCATATATACCTCAACATGAACCGTAAAACATTTAAGGTGCCATTTTCGCCAGAGGAAATCGGTAAAATTGTGCTTAATAGTCTATAAGTGTTGTTTTAGCCTACACCCTATAATAATGTCATTTTTTAGATAGTCCTAATTTCTGATAACAAGTCATTGCCCATATTGCTTTGCTTAAAGCACCTGACATTATTACCCTGGACGATAGATCAGTGTGCATTACCTGTTCTCACCTCCATGGGAAAGTTTACAAACAAAGCTGCCTGTTAGGCACAAGAAAGTTTTGGTATTCACATCTTTATCTCTTCATGCTTTGACAAGGTACTCATCCTCTCACCATCTCCTGCTATGTTGTGAATAAATATTAATATACATTGTACTAAACCATGACAATTGACAAACATAATGAGGAAGCAAACATCACTTTATCAAAATAGTACTTTACATTCAGTAGTTCATGCATTAAATGTTCGTGTAAAATATGTATTTCTGTCTTCAGTGGAGATCCCCAACCTGTTGTTTCCACAAGCAGAGTTGGTCATGGAGGAGGAGATTCAGCAAAAGGATGCACAGGCGAGGGAAAAGTCTGAGTCAGAAAAGTTAAAAGAATATCAAGACCTCCTGAAGACCAACACAGAGATTGGTGCAGGCCTTGATAAAGACGAGTTGGAAAAGTCTGCAGTGTCTGAGACAGAAGATGATAAACAGTTTGCCAAATTCAAGGCCAGAATTGCAACAAATCCAGATCAGGTTGGCTTATATTTGGCATATAGTTAGTTTGTTATCTACTCCATGTATGATACTGTTTGAATTGGGGTCATGATCTTTATTCTTAGTAATTCATTATTGTTAACAGTTGTTCATAGGACAAGTATGAACATTGCAAATGTCAAGCCCTGTGCTGGGCCTAGAGATGGGTGTTGAGTCATGTATTATCGTGAAATGGGTCATGGGGGGAAAAGGTGTCGTTCTGATAAAATATTATTATTTTTGTGTGATATTGATATGATATTATTTCTATAACAAGTTATTTTGCCATCATTGATATTCATGAAAAGAATAAACAAGCATAATTTTGGGAGGGTTGAATTTATTTGGTCTCCAAAATGACAGTTAGGAAGTGTCATCTTTTCAAAGACCTCCTACTTTATTATCACTCCCTATCATTTGTTCACATTCAGTTTTGGGGCGGTCAGGTAGCCCAGTGGTTAAAGTGTTCGATTGCCATGCTGAAGACCCATGTTAGATTCCCGACATGGGTACAATGTGTGAAGCCCATATCTGGTGTCCCCTGCCGTGATATTGCTGGAATATTGCTAACTCACTCACTCACTTTCAGTTTTTGTCATTGAATAACCATGACAACAATCAGTAGCAGCTGTGACACTAGCAGTCAGGATGAGCAGCTTACAATTCATACTCTCTCAAGGGGAAAAGCTAGGTAAAAATGCTGTCAACTTTCAAAGATCAGGGCTTCATTATCTGTATATTTTGTTAGGTGTTGCGGTATGATCGGAATGGGACTCCTCTGTGGATCTCTGCTAGCCACAAGCCCCAGCCTAGTGACATCCCTCCCTGCTCATGTGGGGCACCCAGACAGTTCGAGTTCCAGGTGAGTCAGCAAAAACATGTTCACTGTTCTCTTAATGACACAAGCACAAAAATCATACCAATTGTGCCAAATACTGGATGGAAATCCTAGGTTAAACTTTATATCCCTCTGTTCTGAAAAATGGGGGGATTGCGATCACTATGCCCATTTCTGGAGCAGAACTTCAAAACCATTAAATATCTTTTTTAAACTTTCTATGTAGATTAGTCTAGTTGAGACTGGTGCCTTTTGATGATTTAGGATTTTTTGTTCAGTTTTTAGTTTTTTTCCCCTTAACAACAAGTTGGACTTATACTGAAAATGAGTTTTTTTTCCGGAGCAGAACACCCAAACTGTTGAATATTTCTTGTTGAAACTTGCTATATAGGTCAGTCAAATGGTGAAGTGTGCCTTTTGATGATTTGGGATTTTGCCAAAGCTGTGTAAACGGGAGCCTCAGAGCCCCTGTGAAGATCTGTGTTAAATTGGTCTTCAGCATACCATGTAGGAGATGACTAACAGAATCAGATAGTCAGGCTCACTGACTTGGTTGATGCATGTCGTTGTATCCCAATTGTGTAGATCAAAACTCATGCTGTCAATCACTGGATTGTCTGGTGACAGATGCGATTATTTACAGACCAGATATAGCTGGAATGTTGCTGAATGTGGTGTTAACAAACAAACAAACAAACAAATGCTTTGCAGAGTTGTGCCCTTCAGACATGATCCAATGATTGTGGGTTGGAATTCCTGATCTTCCATGATAATGATCCCTGGTCCGACAGTATCGTATTCTTGAGGATGAACAAAGTATCTGTGAATGTGTAGCCATTGATGTCCTGCTTTACCTAGCAACATTTATTGGTGTTAGAGACTATTTAGCAGCTAAACTTCTATAACCGGGGTCACTTAGGGCTTTCTTTGCACTTTAGGCTGTCTCACTGTTGTTACTAAAATACTGTTCAAAGCTACATTATATCAAAATCACTCACTTACTCGTCTAACAGGCATTGTGTGCGTATTCATAACTGCATTGTTTCTTTCTCCGGCACTATGACATTTTATACTTCTGTTACAGATCTTACCCCAGTTGTTGGGGTACCTGAATGTCGACAGTGTTGGGGACAGTATAGACTGGGGTACACTGTGTATCTACACCTGTTTCAAGAGCTGTGATATCGGCAACAAGTACCAGCCAGAATTTCTATGGAAACAGGACATTACAGGTGGTAATCCTGGGACTTGACCTGCCAGACTAGACTGTACAGGGTGATATGCCATTGGTTGACACAAGGACTAATAAACATACCACTTGAATTGTGTTCTGTTATGAAATGTATGAGCAATTTCCAGTGGAACTTTTATTTTATCATTATTGAGATCATTACTCTCTGTCGGCAACTTTCTGCTACCAAAGAAACAAAATCATATATTGCCTGAGGCAGTGTTTGAAAACATTTCAGAAACATTCACCAACATCATCCTGAATTACCCAATATACTAGGGCTTGGACGATACACCAACTGCGCGATCCAATACATATCACGATACCTTACTCACAATCCGATATGAATCACGATACTTGCATGTGCTCTTATCTGTGGTGTGTAAGCCATCTTTTTCATAGGCAGGATGGCCAAACACCTGGCACACTGATGATTTACAGTTGGCAGTGTCAAGTATGGCACAACAAATGAATATATGTATGTTCTCACAATTAACTTGCACTACTGATTAGTGTTTAGTGGAACAGTTATTAAAGCAAACACTTAAGGTCAGAATCGATATTTTTTTCTTGGTGTGTGACTGTGATTGATCCCTGTATCATCCCACCACTACAATGCACCGTATCTATTTTAGATGCCCTTGACTGCTCTGCCACCATAGATTTGTGTTGCATTTGCTTTTGTAAAGGACAGCATGAGAAATAGTCGTCCATTCAAATTGGACTCATGAGCAAGAAAAATTGTGTATGAAGTTACTAATAACAGAGAATGCGATGGAGACGCCATTTCCTAAATGAAGCTATGGTAGGAAATGTTGGTTAAAGTATTTGCTGGTCAAGCATAAGGCCCAATTTTGATTCACAACACAAGTACATAAAAAAACTCAACTGACAACTTTAAATATCAAATTTATAAACACTTGTCCTTAAAAGTTTTATTTTTTTTTATAAATGTTAAAAACTCTGATACCACGAGGGCGAGATTCTATTTGTCATTCTTCCAAATTTTTCTCTTTGTGAAACAGTAATTTCATTTGAGTAATAACTGTCTTGAGTGTATAAAGTATAGCTAACCAGCTTGTGTGGCAGAGAGATTAGTGATGTCATTTGATTATGATATCATGTTTGTTTGTTGATTAACGCCGCACTCAGCAATATTCCAGCCAATGACGGCAGTCTGTAAATAATCAAGTCTGGACCAGGCAATCCAGTCATTGATATCATGAGCATCAATCTACGCAATTCGGATACAATGACATGCATCAACCAAGTCTTGCCTCGAGAAGATGGAGGGAGCCAGTGATTGGTTTTTATGCCGAATATATATACTTCACTAACTCCAGGGGTTGTGGCCATATATACATAGATGTGGCAATGAAAATTGAAGAATTCTGCAAATGTAAGGTCACTGTATTAAGTTAATGCATTAATGATACAATAATTCCCCCTACGTTGTTTGTCTGTAGTATACGTACACATTCATCGGCAGCAGATCTTCCAAGACGGTCGGAAGGGGAGGTAGACAAACGATGACATTGTTAGTGCTCATCCAGGATTGGAACAGCCTTCCCAACAACGTAACATATAAGGGAGACAACTCTGCACAGCCATGTGCGGCCGCTTGGACCACTGACCCACCCATTACCCCCATAAACGCATCTGCCCTAATAGTATACCTTGTTACCACGCTTTCCGCTTTAGCACAAGTTTCTCATTAATAAGCTCAGAAAGAGCAATATATATTTGTGAATGTATAAAGACAAACTGCAATGCAGAGGTAAGAAGCTTGTCAGTAAAGTAGTACTTCATCCGTTAGGAAGGTCGAGGTTAATCCTCTGCTTCAGTACTACCCAATGACCATACACTATATAGTAAATACACAGCAGAGGCGGATCAAGCATTTTGCGAAATATGAGTGCGTGCGTGCGTGCGTGCGTGCACGTGATACGAAGCGACTGGCCGTTAACATGTAAGGTGTCTGGGGGAAAAAGAGGGCTGCGCACCCCTTGCACAACCCCCAGTGCACAGTTACGCTGTCTCAATTCTACGGGGGCCTGGGTGGCCCAGTCGTCTAAAGCGCCGCAATTGGCTGTGAATATATTTAGGTACCTTTGGGCACAGGAACTCGTTATTTGTCAGTGAAAGAAAATAGATACCCTCTCTATATAAATTTTCTACTTATATATAGGGGGTATGTATTTTTATTTACTGACCAATAACGAATTCAGGTGCTTTGGAAACGTGCAGGCACTTCTAACTGAACGTGACAGGCGAGGTGAGGGGTGAAGTAAAATAGTGCTAGCCAACTGAGATACCATGCCGCAGTTTAACATGATACCCCACAGACGCAGTATACTGATTAATGCCGAGCGCCAGGCAGGGAAACAACAAGTAACAGTCTTTTGTATGACGCGGCCGCAGATCGAACCACCGACCTTCCGCTGTCCGGCAGACGTTCTATACACTAGACCACGAAAGTGACGAAGGAAGTGGGGTAACAAAGTGGTTAAAGCCTCCACTCGTCCCTTCCTCGCCATTGTTTGATGCCCACATTGCTACAGTGTGCAAAACCAAATCGTAATGTTTCTGCCAGGGATGTTGCTTAAAAAGTCGTGAAATTCCACTCACTAGTTACACTGTTCCAGTATCACACACGAGTGCGTGTTTTGGCCCAAGGCGCGGCAATTTGCTGTGAAGAATTGCTTACCTTTGGCGCACTGGAACTCGTTTTTGGTCAGTAAATAAAAATATACACCCCTATATATACATTCTCTACTTATATATAGGTGGTATATATTTTTATTTACTGATTAATAACGAGTTCCTGTGCATTGGTGTGCCAAAGTTTGGTTTGGTTTGTCACGAGCATATATATATATATATACAAAAATGAGGTAAATGTTCACCCGGTGTACATGTAATATATAATAAAATAATAAAGTCCACGTTAGTCCATCATCTTCTTTATATCAGTTTCATACATAGTACTTTCGCTGTCTCATGACAGCTCTTCAGTGTAACTGACAATGACATATAATGACGTCATACTTATGATGACGTCATAAATTACAACTGTGACGTCACAATGTATTTACACACTCCAGCGACGACACCAAGTAATTTAACAATTTACGATTGAAATGACAAATCTATTAATACATTCTAGAGTTCAACTTTGGTTTCATCAAAGAACAAATGTTTATCCAATTGATGAAACCAAAGTTGAACTCTAGAATGTATTAATAGATTTGTCATTTCAATCGTAAATGTTGCACTGTTACTTTACAAATACTGTATATTTAATTCAAAAGTCTCCCTACAATTGTTAAATTACTTGGTGTCGTCGCTGGAGTGTGTAAATACATTGTGACGTCACAGTTGTAATTTATGACGTCATCATAAGTATGACGTCATTATATGTCATTGTCAGTTACACTGAAGAGCTGTCATGAGACAGCGAAAGTACTATGTATGAAACTGATATAAAGAAGATGATGGACTAACGTGGACTTTATTATTTTATTATATACATATATATATATATATATATATATATATATATATATATATATATACGCGTTCACGCAGGATTCAACGTCTAAGACCTATAATTACTTGGGGCTTTGTTTTCATACCAAGCATAAGCCGTGATATAATTGAAATAATGTTCTTAGAATCGTCAACCGAAACTCACTCACTCATAATATCACCCACAGAACACTACAATACAGTGTATAGACCAACACTGGAAATGGAGACAATACCAACCCTAAATGTATTCCCTATATTGCACTAGATGTGACGTATATCACCGAATCACGCCAATTAACATTAACTGACCCAAAACATACATCTACATAGTTTGGTTTGTATTTTCTCATAAGAATCGTCGGGAGAAGTTCAAGATCACGATATGTAGAGTATACCGTTATTGTAGCTTTACACAGTTACACAAAAGATAGTTAGGTTGCACATTGTGGTAAGATCTTTCAACACGAGAAAGGCACGTTGGGAACATGGAAAATAAGAGACACTTTAACATTAATGAATTGATTTACTTAGGGGTGGGACGGGTGACTCGGGTACCCGGGTCGGGTGGGTACTGAGTAGGACCCGGGTACCCACAGGACTACCCGGACCCGTGGTTAGTCACGAGATATATTGTTTAATTACAAAAATACTAGAACTCTATGGTAACACAAGTCACTAATGTTCGCATTTCTTTCTGACGGTGCTCCCATTCCTTCTGATTTTTCATATGGTTGAATAAAGATATAACTTATTTCAACTTCAGTGTATGAATGACCAGATTGTTTAATACATGCATCTGAATACGTTTTGCGAGTGCTTTGCTAAAAATGTTCCCAAATGGACATTTTGAAACATCTCCTGAGACCTACAGTGGGTACCCGGGTTGGGTCGGGTAATAGGGAGGTGGGTACCCGGGTAATCAATTTGGACTCGTCCCAGCCCTAGATTTAGAAATGTGTTCACAGGTGCGTGCAGAATACTCGCTGTGTTAACATGTTATCGTTCTGCATCCTACTATTCACTACATTCAAATAGTTTCTTATCAAATACACATATTCTCCGGCGGAATCAATTCCGACATATATCTGTTCGCAGATATAGATAACGATATAATGAGTAACGTTTGGACTTGGTGTAGGCAGTTCTAACTGAACGTGACAATTGAGGGGTGAAGTGAAATAGTGCTAGCCCACCGAGATATCATGCTTCAGTTTAACTTACCTCGCTGAGACGCAGTATACTGAAGTTGATGCCGAGCGCCGGGCAGGGAAACAACAAGTAACCGTCTTTTGTATGACGCAGCCAGGGATCAAACCACCGACCTTCCGCTGTCCGGCAGACGCTCTATCCAGTAGACCACGAAAGTGACAGAGGAAGTGGGGTAACAAAGTGGTTAAAGCGTCCACTCGTCACGCCTACGTCCTTGTTTGATGCCCACATTGGTACAATGTGTAAAAAACCCAATCCTAACACTTGTCCTCTGCTGTAATATTTCTGCATTCGACTCGCTCATTCAATGTGATCAAATCGAAATTACGACATATACCATAACGGTTCAGTA